TTAGATTTTGATACACTGTTCAAGTCTTACTTAGTCGGTGGTATTGTGGCAAATACTAAGAGTAATATATTACCTATTAGACAAAATTCTTTCTCTGTGGTGGTTCAGACCTTGGTTGGACAAAGAATACGAATTTCAGACCTTAGCTGCAACATTACTATCCGAGAATTAAAGAAAAAAATTCAAAAGAACGTAAAATTTGCACCCTATAACCAACGGTTGGTATTCAATGGTCAAGAGCTTTCGAATATCGCGAGTCTTGGATCGTATGAGATTAGCATGAACAGTATTATATACATGGAAATTAAACCACATGACTCTTACAACAAAGTCAAATTCATTATATTAGATTTAATCGATCCTGAATATCAATTTTATTTCAACAAATATGTTAATGATGTGATAATTATAAGCAAAGATTTTCTGCTAACACAGGGATGGAAACAAGTCTTGCTTAAAGTTCCAAACAAACAAATAACAATAAATAATGAAAAGATTAATGATTTACCAGAAGTTGGAAAAAAGAAATGGAAAATTTCTTATCATGGTACAGCTAAATATTTACATCGCTCAATCGCAGAAGATGGATATTTATCCGGAAAAAAATATCAACAATTTAATTTCAGCCATGGTATTTATACGACTCCTAATATTGAAATCGCCTCGTTATACGCAAAAACTTTTACGTACAATGGAGTAAAATTTAAAGTATTGTTTCAAAATCTTGTTAATACAAATACCTTGGGTAGAATTCGAACATACTCTGGTGAATATTGGGTTTCACCAAGTGAAAATGATATTCGACCATTTGGATTTCTTGTAAAAAAAGTTGATTTTTTATGAATGAGTTTTTTTTTTTTTTTTCCTTATTATAAGAAATTATTCGTTAATTAAGAATAAATTTAGGAGATAAGATACTAAAGCGATCCTGGCATTGGTAAATTATACTAGCAGGGTAAAATTTTACGTAAATTCGTTTGTAACACATAGCTCTAATAAAACTCTTATAATAAAACTTTGGACAATATGTTTTACATTGGAATTCCACCAAATATAATTATATATAAAATCAATTTTAAGTATAAGCGTAAATTTTAAATTGAGACTTACATTTTTTGCAAGGTCTATGTAAATGATATATTTCGTGAAATTGTATGAGAATATGTTGAGAGAAAAATGTTTTTAAACACAAAATTCTAAAAGCATTACGGCTAATTTAGTTTATTAGTCCTTTTTTTAAAATCACTAAATATGATTGACAGTAAATTATTATTTATGTGCTATTAAGTAAGAAAAATCACAGAGAACTAACATCTAACTGATTACCTCACTATGATCCCGCCTCAACAGATCAGTTAATACCCTTTAAATTTTGGGTACAAATAAAATTAGCTGTAATGTATATAAATGCTAGTTATATATTAGATTTCATGAATGTTGTTTTTTCTTTCTATATTGCGACAATTTTTTTGCATTAACTCTTGTAACTTGTACTATATTATACGTACAATATATATTTCATTTGCATGAAAATTTCTACAGTGGTACTGTATCTAGTGATGTATCTTGTGCAAGGTGAATCTAGCATACATTTCGTGAATTTCACAATTTAACGTGACAAAATTCATCTTAAAATGTATGATAAGGGATAAAACTTCCCTTTATCTTAAATCAGTTAACAAGTTCTTAAGATTCATTCATATTCTCTCCTTGTTTACTTAACTTGTGAATAACCTTAATAGTTCACTTACCGAATGCCTATGTACAGTATTAAATATAAAATACTGTTTTCTTTAAATGAAGGGTTAATAATTTCCAGACTTGATAATAACGCGCATTAACTCCTGCTTAATGTGACCTAAAGAAGCGGCAAGTCGAGCAAGTCGTTAACGTTAATATTATCATTGTGAAAATTATTACAATGCAACCTTCGAAAGTATCCGGTTACACAAACAATTACCCCATTTTTTTTCTTAGAGGGCACACTATTATTATCATTAATCTCCCTAAAAAAGTTACATAACTGAGTTTAAAAGTCCTATATTTAAAATTAGAAGCCTTTCGCTTCAATATTAGTAAAATTATGTTTAAAATTTACTTTAAATAGTTTGGACATTTATCAAAGATGCAGTAGAAATGGTATAGCATCTCGATTACTATATAATCTTTGCAAAAATAATAATAATTGTGTATTGATTATTCTTTGCTCAAATTATTTATTACTTTTTTTGCACAAGAAAAAAAAACTACTTTATACTAAATTTCTTTTTCATTTTCTTTCGTCGGATTGGATTTATTTTGCTCAAAGTACTTAACAATTTTTCTAATTTTTCATTAGAAAATTTTTCATATTTCTTAACTTTTGCAATACTTGAGTATTTCACTAGACATTATATGATCAGCATTTAGAACGATAAGCAAAGAAAAAAAAATTATTTGATTAAAATTGAATACAAGTTTTGACGTACTTTTTTTTTTTTAGGGGATATTAACTGTTAAGTTCGTTTGATTATCGTTAATTTGTTTTTTTTCCCGTGTAACCGGAAATATTTCGGAGGTTTATTGTACATGCATAAGGCATAAAAGTTACGTACGAATCTAATTGGGGTTTTCATATCAAACATGTTTATATTACATGCAAGACCATGTATGCTATAGCATTATAAAAGGACTTTATTTTCAAAATAACGCCCATGAGCGCTTATACGGTAGCTATTTTAGAAAAATTGGCGACTACGTAGTAGATTGCAAAATTTAAATACATAATTACTAACGATTTGAATTCGAATTTAAATAAAAATTAACCTATTTTAAATTCGAAAATTTAAATTTTTTGAGTGCATTTTTTTTAGCTTCTTAGAGTTGGTTAAATTTAAGGTAGAATTTTTAATTAAAAGAGTAAATAATTTTGGAATTGTTAATAATAAAATAATTACCGTAAGATACGGAAAAGAAGCACTATTCCCTCTACTTTTTTTAATCTCAGATTGACGGGCAATCAAAAACTGTGGTTCCTATTTCTAATAATCTGGGATTGAAAAAAGTAGGGTAGAGGGGACAGTAGAAGTGCTTTAGGGATGGCTATTTTTTGATCAAAATATTTTATTTTCATCAAATTTGTAAGTGTTACAAAAATTATATCAGTGACTATGTTTTAAAAAAATCATTTTAAAGGAATATAAAACTGTTTTAAAATAGTGTTTTAAAATCACTTATCATCCCTAAAGTACTTATTTTCTGAGTTTTACGGTAAGAATATTTTAGAATTTGTACCTCTATATCTGATATTCAGATAGAAGTCCCAAAATGATTATGCATTCCGTAAATCACTTTAAATTATACCCTGGTCACTATATCAAGATCGCAGGGCATATACACTGGGTTCTTTGTTTATAAGCGGAATTCATTCCGCTTATACCCAAGACACTCAGTATATAACTATTACAAATCCTTTTTGAACTCAAGTTCTGGATTAAATCGCAGAATATACCCAGGTACTATCACGTGACAAATTGAGATCGTGGGTATTATAAATGTTGTGATTTGCTTATTTAAAGTTCGAGGAAGCAGGGAGTTTTCAAATGGTCTTCTAACTTGGAATTCTATGAATTCAGAATCTATTTGGGTAGATTTTTTTTTAGACCCTTCAACTTACCTTTAGCATTGTTTATATAATAGTATTAATACCAGGGCCTTATGCTAATTAGTACCTGGGGTACATTGTATGGAACCGAGTATTTATGGAACCGAATATTTATATTTTGTGTGCTAACCCTAATACGGGCTAATCTGTCGGGATTTTGACCTTTCGGGATTTTGTTCGTCGGGATTTTGATTATATTTAGGATATATTATATGAAAAGTAATAAATTTATACCTCCGGGTCTTAATTATGAGGAGAATTATTTTTTGGATTTAAATAAAAACGATATATATAAATTTTATAAAATACTATAAAAATTTTTTTTACAAAAACCTTCCATTAAACCAATTATTTTTGAAAATTGGTTAAGAAAACCAATTCATCAAAGTTTTTACAAAATTCAAGTTAAATTAACAAGTTATTATACTTGCATTAGTCCATGAAATAATTTGCCAAGAAGTGAATACTCTCAATGCCTCTTTCTTAATTGCCCAAAAATTCTTAAAAAAGATAAATTTTCACAGTTAACAATAGAATCGGGGATATTGAAATAAGGGGCCCTTTAATCTGTGCACTTAAAATTTATTATTATTATTTTTTTTTTTTTTTTTTTTTTTTTTTTGCAGATAGTACGTAAAAAAATTTTATTTACCTATTTTCGGTGGCTGGCTCGGTTCCAAAACATTATGTGGCATTTTTGATACACAAAAGATGTGCAATCAGCTTATCAGAGCAATGATCGGATGTAGGATTCAACAATAAAATCAAAAATGAGGCAAAAAATCAGGTAGCTTAATAACAAATACTCTCATAAAACAGTCCTACACAATAATACAACGAGCTCTTCTTGCCGTAGATTAAAAAAAAATCTAGTTAGCTGTACGGATCTCAACACTCCACGAAATCCCTTTTTCAGTAAATTATATTTTGGTACCGTCCCTCTCCAGCTTGTTGTTTCCTTTTTTTTTTTTTTTTTGCCTTTTAAAACATTTCAACACGCACCGGAAGCCACTGAAAAATGTACCTTTGCATTGCAAGTCATAGCCCACTCCTAACACTCACACCCCCAACACTTTTCCTTTTTTTCAGTATTCCTTAGTCTCCCACACTAACCCCTCCTTCCAAAACCTGAATGTCTGACCACGGCGAAGAGATTCCCCATTCCCACTCCCCCACTGAACGTAAAAGGTCCCTTCCTTCTGATGACGATGATGACGACCTTAGCCAGGAGGAAGGAAGAAGTCGCTTTAAACGTCCTGCGTTGACTAATTCAGGCGGAGAAGACGACTCTTCTGAGTTCGGTGCTCCATTTGCTTTTGAAGACGAACCAAACAGTGCTGAACAAGCCGTCTCTCCATCTGAATCACCAGACATTATGGAGGTTAACGTTCGTTCTCCAGCCGCTACTGATAAAGAAAAAAATGTAGAACCAGAGTCTACACTTGCTACTATTTCTCTGCGAGCTCTCGTAACAACTAAGGAAGCTGGTGTTATTATTGGAAAAGGCGGAAAGAATGTTAGCGAAATTCGTGATAGATCTGGAGCTAAAGTTACTATATCAGAAATGGTCCAAGGTGCTTATGAAAGAATTCTGACTGTTACTGGTCCTTTAGACACTGTTGCAAAGGTATATTACTTTTTTTCTTAACAACTAATTAATATATAATAATTTCCTCGAACATTTTAATTACCACAATTACTATTAGTTCTTTATATTACATAATGATTTTTAAAAATTTATATATATATTTTTGTTTTCAATGGAAATATACAGAAAAAAAAAAAAAAATGAATGTTTGGTTTTCTATATGCTAAAATAAAAATACTAAAAATATTTATTATTTATAAATTGTTTTAGGCCTTCGCCTTGGTAGCTCGAAAGATTTTGGATGAGAATTTGGATACCCCTTCTACTCCTAATTCGAAGTCTACTACTATTCGACTTCTTGTTCCTCATACTAGAATGGGTCCTGTTATTGGTAAAGGTGGAACTAAAATTAAAGAAATTCAAGAAAAATCTGGTGCGAGATGTCTAGCTTCCGAAGAAATGCTTCCACTATCTACAGAACGAACTATTTCAATTACGGGTGTTCCTGATTCAATTCACATTGCTGTTTTTCATGTTGGAGAAGAACTTGCAAAACATCAAAACGATCGAAATACCGGAATTACTTTATATAGACCTCAACCACGAATTCTTTACCATCAGGCTGCTCCTGTTGCTGGTAATCACCCGTTTTATGTTGGACTTCCACCTGCTCCTCCTCCATATGGACGTGATTTCATGCCAGGTCCACCTGGTCCAATTAATCATCAACCTCCACCAGGGTCTCAAGCACAGCAAATTTTTATCCCTAATGATATGGTTGGTTGCATTATCGGTAAAGGAGGAAGTAAAATCAACGAAATTAGACATCTTTCTGGTTCACATATTAAAATTGCTGAACCACACGGTAATACGAATGAAAGACTAGTCACTATCACGGGAACCCCCGAATCAAATCAGATGGCACTTTATCTGCTATATAGTCGACTCGAAACTGAGAGAAGAAAACCTAGTGTTTAATTCATTTTATTTCTTATGTTTTAGGAATTGCTTGATAGAATTCCGAACTGGATGCAAATTTATCACTCAGCCTACCTGCATGATTTTGAAATCAGGTATCTGGGAGAAAAAGGATTGCATAAATAATCTTTATTCAATCCTAAAAAAAAAAAATGTTGTTGATATTACTTGCAAATATAGTTATGATGTTTTTATATATAAAAATTTAAAATATATATAATTATTATAAAATATGGGAAAACGTTTGTTTACATCTTTGAATAAGAAATTCTTGGAATTTTTTTTTTCTTTGGCCATAGGACATTATTTACAAGTTTAATGAAATCAAATGAACATTTATTTTTTAACATATTTAGTAACCAAAAAGTGAACTTTGTTGGTGGGTTACTTTAGTATTTTTTATATTCTATATTTTAAATTAGGTTAGTTTACTGTATTTACCGATTTTATATATATATTTTTTTTAAAATTTATTTGATATGTTTATCAGATAGAATGTTATAAAAAGAAAAAAAAAAAAAAGGAATTGATTTGCGATCAAATTTGTCGTTATATTTGACTTATCCAATTCAAAGTAATTATAAAATTAAACATGACAATTTTTTTTTTTGTATTATTATTAGTCTAATAATTACTCGGTTACGAACTAGATTTATATGTTTAATTTCGGAATTCTTATCTATTATCGTTATAGTAATATTTTAATGAAATTTAAAATACCGCTTATCGTTATGATTTTAGTATTTATTTATTTAAAGTTTTTCGATTGGCTTACATATATATAATATAAATTCAAAGAAAATACGTATTATAATAACAAAAAATTATAACTATTAAGAAAAGGAGATTAATTTGTATTAATATAAACATATCTTCTATGTGTATATTCAAATAGGTTCTCAAATTTCATTATTATGATATTACTATTATTACTACTTACTTTAACTTTAAACTAATTCAAATTATTATTATTTTTTATTTAACACTAGTTAAAAATTGCAAAAATGGCGCTAAATCGTCAAACATTCGGCAAGTACTTATTTTTATTGTTGGATTTTGCTTTTGTTTTTCTTTATTTATTACTAAAAGCTTTAACTTTTGTAAAATTTAAATGATCTTGTATTTTTTTTTTTTTTTTTTTTATTAAAAAAAAGCTAATATAAGCTACAAAGTAAAATGCTAAATTAACTATAACAAATACTCTTCTAAAACTATTTAGGACTCACTTAGCTACCTTTAGATACCTAAGTCGATCAGCTGTAGTAACTGTTTCTTTTATAAAAATTTGTGTTTGTATAGACAAATACTGAGTTTCTAGTTAATGAAAGGTTACTATCAGTCTATATCAAGAATTACTTATTGAGTTTTAATTCATAACTATCCTTCTTTACTATCTGTTCTGATCTATCTATCAATTTTGCTAAGAGCTTCATTTTGTATTCTTGTTTCTTTTTCATTTTTTGTTTCTTTTTTCATAATTGCAGGATTTGTGTTCTCTTTGTTTTCTTTTTTTTTTTTGTTTTTTTGTTTTTTTCTTTTTACTTTCATTGATATGTTGTTTTCTTTCTCTTATTTTACCATTACTTCATATTAGAACTTTCATAATTGTTCATAGAAGCAGGCTTAGAACTATTCTATAAAGCTTATAAGAACTTTACTTGCCTTGTATTTCGATTGAGATATTCTGCTTACATCTGCTAGCTGCTTTCTATTAGTGAGTCCTTTAAGATGTATCTTTCTAAGCTCTAGCTTCTCTTTGAGTTCTTCTCCATATAAAGCTTTTCTTAGGAATACTTTATCAAGTGATAAGTCTAATTTTGTTAAGACTTCTAGTTTGGTAAGTTATAAGGTTTTCTCCTCAAGATTACTCTAAATTTTTTGATATATTTTATACTTAGCTAGATGATATATAGTTTCGTCTTTTCTGAAGCAAGCTATGTATTTACTACTTTTGTATAATTTAAAGTTTCTGAGATAGCAAATGTTTTTAGTTAGTAGAATACTATTTATACACTTAATACAGAACATAAGTGCTTTGCTCTTTTTGAGACTTATATACTTTTTCTTTTGCAGATTCTTTAGCACTTCTCATGTATTTCTTCAGTTAAGTTCTGTAACACTATTAGCTTCTGAGTTTGGTACTATAATTGCAACTATTTTACTTAAATTTGTCTACTCAGTTTCATAAACTGTTGCTGTAATTATATTTAAAAAAGATCTAAGTGGATATTCTATTATATGATCCTTCTATTTAGATATAGCTATTAGGTTGTCATGAGTAGTTTTAGGAACTATAAGTAGATCAAGGCTTTTAGTTCTTTTTTTCAGCAACTTATCTGCTTGCTCATTTCACTTATTACTATTATGGCTCTTAACTTTGTGAAGTGATAGATCTAGATTTTTAGCTTTGCAACAATTTTTGATTTGTCTTAGTAAGCTTCTATTTTTTATCTTAAACTAGTTTCTTAGCTTGTTTTTTTTAATAAATTTTTCGATTACTTTAATTGCTGCTTTGCTATCTATAAATATATAAACTTGAGCCTTATATAGTACTGTCACGCCTATAATTTTCTATTTCTTTATTTTTCTTTTATTTTATTTTTAGTTTTATTATTTGATTTAGTA